CTACTGTAGATTGGGACAATCACTGTGGTCAACAAATATGAAATTATCTGGATCAACACCATTAGTTCTGAGCAAAAAATATATTTTCTGTAAGGTGGACTTCTTCATTGGTTTTGCTCTGCGGGATAAAATCAATGCGGTCTCTGTAAAAGTCAGGGAAATTATTCTTTTTTTTTAATTTTTAATTTGTAATCATTTCCACTATATAATACGATTCAGAATATAATAAAAGAATTGTCTAACCAATCATATGCTTTGTTTCATATATATAAGACGAAAGACTACTTACAATCTAATCTGCACTATCTATCCGAATTCACTCTCTCACACAGATTCTTGTTGACATGAGACTAGAATTCGTTAAAAAATGTTATAGAACACTTACCGTTAAAAGTTAACAAACATCACTGAAGTTTCATTTTACCGTTCAATGTCCATTTAGATGGGAACAATTTGTATGAAAAAAAAACTCTTAATCTATACATTTTATTTCTATGAAAGGTTCATTACAAAGTAGGCTTTTGTTCGCAACACACATATCTGATTCCTTAAGGACATGTGTTTGGTAGAAGGAGCACTTATATGTTGTCTGTAAAAAGTTAGTTTTTGGAGAGACATGTCTGCTTGTGTTATGTAACCGTGTTCGCATCGACAACATTTTTTTACATGCCACATGTGACTCAAGATCTGCTTACCATTCTGAAGCACCTGAGATCACCTGGTTTTGATGGAGGTCGTGTCGCTCAATATTTTTTCATGCGGTGTTTTGTATATTGTTGTTTGTCCTTTAGCCCTTTTAATAGTTTTTGCCATGGCTTTGTCAGTTTTTTTTCGACTAATGAGTTTAAACGTCCCTTTGTTATCTTTCGTCTCTCTTATAAAACATAAAGATGTCTGAGGCAACATTTGATTAATGAGTTGTAATTCAAATGGATAGAATATTTTGTAGACTGATTGTCGGTTTGTTTTGGCCATGATGTTGTTTGTTTTTCTGAGACCTACGGTTTGTCCCCTTGCTATATTCTACCTATATTTCTTTTTTATAAAAATGTGTTATTAATTATTATCATTTATTACAGATAACGTTGACAAACATCGGCTCTTTGAGGAACATGCGGTCTGCTATGTGTAATAAAAAGGAAATTTAGTTTCAGATAGCTTTAATTACATATAAATTGGTTAAATTGCAGTAATACGTTTGGTTTCAGGAAAATGATAAAGGTATGTACAGTCAAATTGGTCTTCTATTGTCTAAATGTATGACCGATTTGAACAAGCATATGTTAAAAAGATGTTATACCGTGGCGGCTGATTGGATGTGTAGCAAGAATGCAGTTATTCCTAAAGGAAATGTTGTGCTTCCCCCACTAAAACAATAAATTATAGTTTAAATTTTATATCAGTCTATGTGTGTCTTTATATTCACTTCAATTCATAAGTTTGTATATACGTTTGGAAAGGTTCGTTTTTTATTTTAATTGTCAAAATACTTCATGAATTTTTCTGAATCATTCTGAAATATTTTTGCTTCAGCTCCTTTTGTACGTCATAGACATATGCATACCTAGACTAGTTTGCTGTCCTCCACCATCTTCACACGCATACAACAAATGAAAATTGTCGTATTGCATCTGCATAAGAGAAGCGAGATACCGCGGCGTAGCTGAAACGAATAAGGTAATATGCAGTTATATCATATGTAAAACCAAAGTACATTCGTATAGCGATACACACAATTAATATTACATAATGCATATTTTCAGATATACAAAAAAACAAACAAAAGTAGGACCGAGGCAATTACAGATATTAAGGGAAATGTAAATTTCTCAAGAGTTTATCAAGGAGAGCCTACTAGCTGTTTTAGTCATTCAAGAGCATATAAATTTTTGTTGTTCATCAGTTCATTAAATTTCAATGAATTTGTTTGGTTTGTATGTTTGTTTTTCAATATAGGCTTATGTTTACCATAAAATACAGAAAATGTAAAAATATAATGAAATTCATACAAGATATTTTTTTCTGTTACAAAGTAAACATTTTCTATTTTCTCTTTGTAATATGTTGCCATCTTTCAATTTCAATAGGATATTTATGATTCCCCCTTCTAAACACAAAGTTGTAAAGTATTTGTCTTCTAAATATTTTAAATGATATTCAAATTCACAGTTTTATTTATGAATATGATAGTTGAGTACTTTTTGGTGATTCAAGTACATTAGCATCTTTGCTAGCCAAGGGTTACGATCCACTTACCTCCTCTCCACCATTGGCGGATTGAGATAGAATTTCGGAGACACAAGGTCATGATTTTCATTGGTTGCAGTCTAAACTCGCTGCATCCAATCAAAAAGCGCCTATAGCATGATCACGAATAAATGTAGAAAGTGTATGTAAACAATTGCCACGTGCTTATTTTGCAACAAGTCTTTACATCCCTAAACATACGACTATATTTAGTGACAATTTGAATGTTTTTAATCGACTTATAGAAGTTCCTGTGTGTGTTTCTTGCACAAATGCATGAATGTCAACGTATATTTTCGTTTCCTGCTTTACCAAGTGTGTAGAATCTAGACGCTTCAGCCCTTGGATGGTGTAAACCTCCCAAAATAACGTGTATGGTGTAATGGTGTATGGCATATGGTGCAATGGTAGAAGGTGTATGGTGCTATGGTGTATGGTGTAAGGGTAATGGTGTAATGGTGTATGAGGAATGGTGTGATTGTGTAACGTGCGATCGGGAATGGTGTGAATGAATGGTGTACGACATTTCATTGGTTGAAACCGAAGTTCATTTTATTTCAATTTTTCGGATTGTAAACATAAACAATAATAATAATCCTATTGTTCTTTTTTCCCAGTAAAGCAAATTACTTTACTCGTTAGACTCTATGTCATATATATTTAATATACAAATATTAAAAAATCTTTTTTTTTCATATTCTTATTTACATTAAACAATGGCTTTAAAATTACACACTTGTGATCACATGCAGTTATCATAAAAGAAAGGATTTTATTTAAACTAGAAGGCGGATAGAAAGGTTATCCACGCATCGGAACAGTATTGTTATATCACGGTTTATCAACATCATTTTTAAAGTTGCTTCGTTCCCCACTTTTGACAGTCTCTTTATAAATATCTTATCGTCATTCACCTATGTTTGCCTTGGATTTACGATTCTGTTTTCCAAAAAATGTTCAAAGGAAAATTGTACAGTGTTATTGCACATAAGGTGTTGTATAATTATGAACAATCTCGTCAATTTCGTTAGATTTGTCTTTACGGATTATAAATGATATCTTGAACGTCCGAAAAAATATACTTATGTGAAACGGAATGAAATATTTGCCACTTGATATTTAGCCACCAACAAAATCAACCAACCGACATAATAGAATAACAGTATACTTTTCCTAGAAGAGAACTTCTCATACTTTTCATTATAAAGTACAAATGAAATCTGTCATGTCAGTCACACTGTTGGATGATGAGGTGGAATAGTTTTATTATACAAACCATCCTGAACTACTGAGTTTAAATCATCACACCTCAGCAAGCACGACTAATTTATGCGCAGACCAACCCATCACACAATAGCCCAAAAGGAATCTGTCATGTACCCGTCCATATTCAGAAGTCATGGAAGTGGGAAATACAGATATTGATACTGACTTTAGTGACAGTTTTATATAACGAATACAGAGATGAAATGCTGGCACTCTAAATTAAAGCGGACAAGATTTTGTTATCATTGTATTGCAATGTTGCTGTCATTTGTATTATACAATCCATCCTGACATCAAAATATTGCTGATTTACTATGCGGCTGGCGCTATATAGATTTACATAATAAAGTGCAAATATGGTCAGTTTTGTTTGATACTTTAAAATAGTTTTGTTATACGAGTCAGCCTGAGGTATCAACACTACTGAAATTTTCTTGCGAGACAATATTTTTAATAAAAAGAGGACATGCTGGCTATCTAGATTGATGGGGAAAAATTTTGTTGTCATTGTATTGCAATGTTGTTGTCATTTGTATTATACAATCCATCCTCACATCAAAATATTGCTGATTTACTTTGCGGCTATATGCTGATTTACTATGCGGCTATATAGATTTACATACATGACATAATAAAGTGCTAATATGATCAGTTGTGGCTGATGCTTTAAAATAATTTTGTTATACAAGTCAGCCTGAGGTATCAAAACTACTAAAATTTTCATGCGAGACAATATTTTGAATAAAAAGAGGACATGCTGGCTATCTACATGTAGATTGATGGGGACAAATTTTTGTTGTCATTGTGTTGCAATGTTGCTGTCATTTAATTTGTATAATGCAATCCATTCTGACATCAAAATATTGTTGTTTACTTTGCGGCTATATAGATTTACATAATAAAGTGCAAATATGGTCAGTTTTGGTTGATTCGTTTAAATAATTTTGTTATACGAGTCAGCCTGAGGTATCAAAACTACTGAAATTTTGTTGCGAGACAATATTTTGAATAAAAAGAGGACATGCTGGCTATCTAGATTGATGGGGATAATTTTTGTTGTCATTGTATTGCAATGTTGCTGTCATTTGTATTATACAATCCATTCTGACAATAAAATACAGCTGCTTTACTATGTGGCTATATCATGTATATAGATATACATAATATTAAAAGTGCAAATATGGTCAGTTTTGGTTGATGCTGTAAAAAAATTTTGTTATACAAGTCAGCCTGAGGTATCAAAACTACTGAAAATTTCTTAAGAGACAATATTTTGAATACAAAGAGGACATGCTGGCTATCTAGATTGATGGGGAAAAATTTTTGTTGTCATTGTATTGCAATGTTGCTGTCTTTTGTATTATACAATCCATCCTGACATCAAAATATTGCTGATTTACTATGCGGCTATATAGATTTACATAATAAAGTGCAAATATGGTCAGTTTTATTTGATACTTTAAAATAGTTTTGTTATATGAGTCAGCCTAAGGTATCAAAACTACTGAAATTTTCTTGCGACACAATATTTTGAATAAAAAGAGGACATGCTGGCAATCTAGATTGATGGGGACAAATTTTTGTTGTCATTGTGTTGCAATGTTGCTGTCATTTGTATTATGCAATCCATTCTGACAACAAACTATTGCTGATTTACTATGCGGCTATATAGATTTACATAATAAAATGCAAATATGGTCAGTTTTGGTTGATTTGTTTAAATAATTTTGTTATACGAGTCAGCCTGAGGTATCAAAACTACTGAAATTTTGTTGCGTGACAATATTTTGAATAAAAAGAGGACATGCTGGCTATCTATATTGATGGGAATAAATGTTTGTTGTCATTGTATTGCAATGTTGCTGTCATTTGTATTATACAATCCATCCTGACATCAAAATATTGCTGATTTACTATGTGGCTATATAGATATACATAATAATGTGCAAATATGGTCAGTTTTTGTTGATGCGTTTCAATAATTTTGTTATACTAGTCAGCCTTAGGTATCAAAATTACTGAAAAATTGTTGCGGCTATATAGATTTACATAATAAAATGCAAATATGGTCAGTTTTGGTTGATTTGTTTAAATAATTTTGTTATACGAGTCAGCCTGAGGTATCAAAACTACTGAAATTTTGTTGCGAGACAATATTTTGAATAAAAAGAGGACATGCTGGCAATCTAAATTGATTGGGATAATTTTTGATGTCATTGTGTTGCAATGTTGCTGTCATTTGTATTATACAATCCATTCTGACAATAAAATATAGCTGCTTTACTATGTGGCTATATAGATATACAAGATATTAAAAGTGCAAATATGATCAGTTTTGGTTGATGCTGTAAATTAATTTTGTTATACAAGTCAGCCTGAGGTATCAAAACTACTGAAATTTTGTTGCGAGACAATATTTTGAATAAAAAGAGGACATGCTGGCTATCTAGATTGATGGGGACAAATTTTTGTTGTCATTGTATTGCAATGTTGCTGTCATTTGTATTATACAATCCATCCTGACATCAAAATATTGCTGATTTACTATGCGGCTATATAGATTTACATAATAAAGTGCAAATATGGTCAGTTTTGGTTGATACTTTAAAATAGTTTTGTTATATGAGTCAGCCTGAGGTATCAAAACTACTGAAATTTTCATGTGACACAATATTTTGAATAAAAAGAGGACATGCTGGCAATCTAGATTGATGGGGACAAATTTTTGTTGTCATTGTGTTGCAATGTTGCTGTCATTTGTATTATACAATCCATTCTGACAACAAAATATTGCTGATTTACTATGCGGCTATATAGATTTACATGATAATAAAATGCAAATATGGTCAGTTTTGGTTGATTCGTTTAAATAATTTTGTTATACGAGTCAGACTAAGGTATCAAAACTACTGACATTTTGTTGCGTGACAATATTTTGAATAAAAAGAGGACATGCTGGCTATCTAGATTGATGGGCATAAATTTTTGTTGTCATTGTATTGCAATGTTGCTGTCATTTGTATTATACAATCCATCCTGACATCAAAATATTGCTGATTTACTATGTGGCTATATAGATATACATAATAATGTGCAAATATGGTCAGTTTTTGTTGATGCGTTTAAATAATTTTGTTATATGAGTCAGACTAAGGTATCAAAACTACTGACATTTTGTTGCGTGACAATATTTTGAATAAAAAGAGGACATGCTGGCTATCTAGATTGATGGGCATAAATTTTTGTTGTCATTGTATTGCAATGTTGCTGTCATTTGTATTATACAATCCATCCTGACATCAAAATATTGCTGATTTACTATGCGGCTATATAGATTTACATAATAAAGTGCAAATATGGTCAGTTTTGGTTGATACTTTAAAATAGTTTTGTTATATGAGTCAGCCTGAGGTATCAAAACTACTGAAATTTTCATGTGACACAATATTTTGAATAAAAAGAGGACATGCTGGCAATCTAGATTGATGGGGACAAATTTTATTTGTCATTGTGTTGCAATGTTGCTGTCATTTGTATTATACAATCCATTCTGACAACAAAATATTGCTGATTTACTATGCGGCTATATAGATTTACATGATAATAAAATGCAAATATGGTCAGTTTTGGTTGATTCGTTTAAATAATTTTGTTATACGAGTCAGACTAAGGTATCAAAACTACTGACATTTTGTTGCGTGACAATATTTTGAATAAAAAGAGGACATGCTGGCTATCTAGATTGATGGGGATAATTTTTGTTGTCATTGTATTGCAATGTTGCTGTCATTTGTATTATACAATCCATTCTGACAATAAAATACAGCTGCTTTACTATGTGGCTATATCATGTATATAGATATACATAATATTAAAAGTGCAAATATGGTCAGTTTTGGTTGATGCTGTAAAAAAATTTTGTTATACAAGTCAGCCTGAGGTATCAAAACTACTGAAAATTTCTTAAGAGACAATATTTTGAATACAAAGAGGACATGCTGGCTATCTAGATTGATGGGGAAAAATTTTTGTTGTCATTGTATTGCAATGTTGCTGTCTTTTGTATTATACAATCCATCCTGACATCAAAATATTGCTGATTTACTATGCGGCTATATAGATTTACATAATAAAGTGCAAATATGGTCAGTTTTATTTGATACTTTAAAATAGTTTTGTTATATGAGTCAGCCTAAGGTATCAAAACTACTGAAATTTTCTTGCGACACAATATTTTGAATAAAAAGAGGACATGCTGGCAATCTAGATTGATGGGGACAAATTTTTGTTGTCATTGTGTTGCAATGTTGCTGTCATTTGTATTATGCAATCCATTCTGACAACAAACTATTGCTGATTTACTATGCGGCTATATAGATTTACATAATAAAATGCAAATATGGTCAGTTTTGGTTGATTTGTTTAAATAATTTTGTTATACGAGTCAGCCTGAGGTATCAAAACTACTGAAATTTTGTTGCGTGACAATATTTTGAATAAAAAGAGGACATGCTGGCTATCTATATTGATGGGAATAAATGTTTGTTGTCATTGTATTGCAATGTTGCTGTCATTTGTATTATACAATCCATCCTGACATCAAAATATTGCTGATTTACTATGTGGCTATATAGATATACATAATAATGTGCAAATATGGTCAGTTTTTGTTGATGCGTTTCAATAATTTTGTTATACTAGTCAGCCTTAGGTATCAAAATTACTGAAAAATTGTTGCGGCTATATAGATTTACATAATAAAATGCAAATATGGTCAGTTTTGGTTGATTTGTTTAAATAATTTTGTTATACGAGTCAGCCTGAGGTATCAAAACTACTGAAATTTTGTTGCGAGACAATATTTTGAATAAAAAGAGGACATGCTGGCAATCTAAATTGATTGGGATAATTTTTGATGTCATTGTGTTGCAATGTTGCTGTCATTTGTATTATACAATCCATTCTGACAATAAAATATAGCTGCTTTACTATGTGGCTATATAGATATACAAGATATTAAAAGTGCAAATATGATCAGTTTTGGTTGATGCTGTAAAATAATTTTGTTATACAAGTCAGCCTGAGGTATCAAAACTACTGAAATTTTGTTGCGAGACAATATTTTGAATAAAAAGAGGACATGCTGGCTATCTAGATTGATGGGGACAAATTTTTGTTGTCATTGTATTGCAATGTTGCTGTCATTTGTATTATACAATCCATCCTGACATCAAAATATTGCTGATTTACTATGCGGCTATATAGATTTACATAATAAAGTGCAAATATGGTCAGTTTTGGTTGATACTTTAAAATAGTTTTGTTATATGAGTCAGCCTGAGGTATCAAAACTACTGAAATTTTCATGTGACACAATATTTTGAATAAAAAGAGGACATGCTGGCAATCTAGATTGATGGGGACAAATTTTTGTTGTCATTGTGTTGCAATGTTGCTGTCATTTGTATTATACAATCCATTCTGACAACAAAATATTGCTGATTTACTATGCGGCTATATAGATTTACATGATAATAAAATGCAAATATGGTCAGTTTTGGTTGATTCGTTTAAATAATTTTGTTATACGAGTCAGACTAAGGTATCAAAACTACTGACATTTTGTTGCGTGACAATATTTTGAATAAAAAGAGGACATGCTGGCTATCTAGATTGATGGGCATAAATTTTTGTTGTCATTGTATTGCAATGTTGCTGTCATTTGTATTATACAATCCATCCTGACATCAAAATATTGCTGATTTACTATGTGGCTATATAGATATACATAATAATGTGCAAATATGGTCAGTTTTTGTTGATGCGTTTAAATAATTTTGTTATACTAGTCAGCCTTAGGTATCAAAATTACTGAAATTTTGTTTCGAGACAATATTTTGAATAAAAAGAGGACATGCTGGCAATCTTAATTGATGGGGATAATTTTTGTTGTCATTGTGTTGCAATGTTGCTGTCATTTGTATAATGCAACCCATTCTGACAATAAAATATAGCTGCTTTACTATGCGGCTATATAGATATACATAATATTAAAAGTGCAAATATGGTCAGTTTTGGTTGATGCTTTAAAATAATTTTGTTATACAAGTCAGCCTGAAGTATCAAAACTACTGAAATTTTCTTACGAGACAATATTTTGAATAAAAAGAGGACATGCTGGCTATCTAGATTGATGGGGACAAATTTTTGTTGCCATTGTATTCCAATGTTGCTGTCATTTATATATACAATCCATCCTGACATCAAAATATTGCTGATTTACTATGCGGCTATATAGATATACATAATAAAGTGCAAATATGGTCAGTTTTTGTTGTTGCGTTTAAATAATTTTGTTATACTAGTCAGCCTTAGGTATCAAAATTACTGAAAAATTGTTGCGAGACCATATTTTAATTAAAAAGAGGACATGCTGGCTATCTAAATTGATGGGTATATTTTTTGTTGTCATTGTGTTGCAATGTTGCTGTCATATGTATTATACAATCCATTCTGACATCAAAATATTGTTGATTTACTATGCGGCTATATAGATTTACATGATAAAGTGCAAATATGGTCAGTTTTGGCTGATGCTTTAAAATAATTTTGTTATACGAGTCAGCCTGAGGTATCAAAACTACTGAAATTTTCTTGCGAGACAATATTTTGAATAAAAGAGGTCATGCTGGCTATCTAGATTGATCAGGACAAATTTTTGTTGTCATTGTATTGCACTGTTGCTGTCATTTGTGTTATACAATCCATCCTGACAACAAGATATTGCTGATTTACTATGTGGCTTAATAGATATACATAATAAAGTGCAAATATGGTCAGTTTTTGTCGATGCGTTAAAATAATTTTGTTATACAAGTCAACCTGAGGTATCAAAACTACTGAAATTTTGTTGCGAGACAATATATTGATTAAACTAGGACATGCTGGCAATCTAGATTGATGGGGACAAATTTTTGTCATTGTACATGTTGTTTTGCAATGTTGCTGTCATTTGTATTATACAATCCACCCTGACATCAAAATATTGCTGATTTACTATGCGGTTATATAGATCTATATAATAAAGTGAAAATATTATGGTCAGTTTTGGTTGATGAGTTAAATAATTTTGTTATATGAGTCAGCCTGAGGTATCAAAATTACTGAAATTTTGTAGCGAGACAATATTTTTAATAAAAGGAGGGCAAAAATATTTCCAAATTTTTTAGCCCTATATAAATTAACAGATTGACACACTCCCCATTTCCATTCTCAATTTTATAATTATAAGTGCAAATATGGTCAGTTTTGGTTGATGCTTAAAATAATTTTGTTGTGCATGTTGTACATGTACCAGTCATCCTGAAGTATTCATTTTTGGCATTGTTTGTCGATTTTATATGAAAACCAAGTTTATAAGATTTACGATACATGTTAAAACCGATAATAATAGCATTGTAACCAATATCGTTTTTAATTTATAGATAGGCAGATCGCGGATAAATTTGCATTACAAGCAAAGTTTTATGCGTACATTATTTACAAATACATGTATATATATTTAATCTGTATTGTTTATATAACCATCATAGGCATGACCACGGAGATTTTAATTTTATACATTAATTTACAATATTGTGATCAAAATTCGTTTTTTAAATCAAATAAATAATTTTGTAGTCGCACGCTTTCTTTGAAATTTAATTGCATTATGGGTAATTTCGGATCGTGTAGATAGAATGGGGAATGGTGTATGGTGTAATGTGTAAGGTGTATGGTGCAAAGGTGTAACGTGTATGGTGTAATGGCACAAGGTGTATGGTGTAATGGTGTATGGTGAATGGTGTAATGGTGTATCGTGTGAGTGGGAAGTTTACACCATCCAAGGACTGTACCGTGTTTTACCTCCAAATTGAAGTGCTACCATTGGTCAAGAATAATGTATTCGCAATGGGCGTGACTTTAATCTACCGATAGATGGCGCAACATTGTTATCACAAATGTTGGCTTAATCTGGCAAGGGTGGAGAGGAGGGAGGTGGATCGTAACCCTTGGCTAGCGAAGATGGTACATTAGTGGTCCATTTCTGTTTTAACTTATTAGCTAAATTTTACCAATATATAGGCAAACTGTACACTAGTGTATGCGTAATCTAAGGTCTTCAATAAACAAAGAAATAAGTATAACAATAAGTCATTATTTGTTAAAGGAGAAAGGTAATAATATTATGTATTTAGCAAATCAGTGTTGTATGCATGTTAATTTGTATCAAAGTAGAAACATTAATTTCATAGCAGACAATTTTCTTATTTAAGTCAATCATTGCAGATTGCACAAATTGATGAAAATAATGGGGTTAATTTTGAATATGAGGTTGAGTGGGAGAGTAAAAATGGAATGAAAACAAAACTATAGTTAATTTAGCTTACACTCAAGTGTTCCCTCAAAAGTAGACAGTCCTGGATTACTTGGATCTGGTATAATTTTACCAACAAACACATCTTTAAAGAACTGATTAGTACTGTAAATAAACAATGCCTAAACATTTAACTAAGATACAAGTACAAACACATGCAAAGAACAACTATATTAATAGAAAGGGAGTAGATAACAATAAAGCAAAACCATAAATCGAATGCAAATATGACTTTATATATTTATTGGCTCTTATTATTAACACATAAATTTTAACAAATAGATACTGAATTTAGAAGTTGTATATATTTATCAACTTCACAACAGAAATGTATTTTTGTACTCGATTTCATTAGGCTGAACGTCTATACTGATCGATTCGCAATTCTACGAAAGTTTCACATGATGGTTGAATTTATAAAGCCACAGTTTTTTTTTCTCAACTTTTTAAAGATGTTTCATTTTGTAGAAGATCCTTTGCACCCATTCAACATTACTTACTGTTTTACCATATGCGTGGCTTTGATACTTGTCACTTGACATAATTACATGTTCATTATAAATTTGACTGCCAAGGACCAGATGCGCAGATCGACAATCAATATTTCTTCGGCGATGCTTGAGGCTAACATATTTGAAATTTAGAATTTAATACTTCAGTTGAAGAACAAATCAAACGAAAATGACTTAAAAAGAAATGAGAAGATGTCGTATAAGTGCCAATGAGACAACTCTCCATCCAAGTCACAATTGCAATGAGAAAAAAATAACAATTATAGGTCAAAGTACGGCCTTCAACACGGAGCCTTTGCTCATACAGCACAGCAAGATATCAAGGCCCCAAAATGACTAGTGTAAAACAATTCAAAAAGGAAAACAAACAGTCTAATCTTTAAAAAAAAAAACGAGAAACGAGAAACATTCATAAACCTCAACAACAAACGACAACCACTGAACAACAGGCTCCGGACTTAGGACAGGTGCATACAAATGCAGCGGGTTTAAACGTTTTAACAGGCGCCTACCTTCACCCTAACCAGCAACAGTAGTGTAACAAAGTCAAGAAAAATCCAGACAAAGGAAAAGAGATTTGCATTACGGAGATATGAAAATTTTAAACAATTTCCCAGTTTAATTAAGAAAAAAAAATACACCCACTTCAAGTCAAATTCATTAAAACCGACAAACTCAAGCGCTATCAATCAACAGAACAATTGAAAATCAACTCCAAACCACCGTCTTGTATGGTAGTTGTTTATAGTTCAGTTATATTGACAAAATAAGGTTAGCAACCCAAACAGACCATGCAGACATAATAGGTTGATATTACAATAATTGGACCCAAACAGCAAAAACTGTATAAACATTCATCACAGACATACAACATAACTGTCTTAAAACGCACACATTAATCTAACAAAGACAATAATATCCGTATTGTAATGTAGAATATTATAACCTGAAATCTTGTGGGATGTATATCAAGTGGCGTAACATGCTTTTGCAGTCGGTGCTGGTGAGTAATGTGTGGCAAAATATGCTTAAATTGTCAAAATATTGGTGGCAAAATATGCTTAAATTGTCAAAATAATGGTGGCATGACATGCTTAACCTGTCAGAATGGCGGATGGTTCATGCGTTGCATGAGTTATGCGTAACAAAAATTGAATCTCGCTGTCAACTTGACAAATGATTCTTACGCAACAAAAATGTCATTTGTTTTAACTCTCTTATATTTTTGTATATCTAAATTTTTTTGAACTAACACCGACACTACACTTCTTAGAAATGATTCTTACGCAACAAAAATGACGATATAACAGACGATTTATCCACGACAGGAAATGTTAACGACGGTAATGAATCTAGTCTTGTATGAAGTTAAACAATTTCATTTGTTTCAGGTTCAACCCAACATTTTTTTCTTATAATGTCCTGTACCTAGTCAGGAATATGGCAGTTGTTATCTAATAGTTCGTTTATATGTATGTTGCGTTGTCGTTTGTATTTTGTTGCACTTCAGTGTTCTGTTGTTTCGTTGTTTTCCTCTAATAGTTGATGTGTTTCCCTTGGTTTTAGTTTGTAGCCCGGAATTATTTTCTCTCAATCGATTAATGACCTTTGAAAAGCGGTATACTACTGTTGTCTTTTTTTAACTC